CCTCTGACAATAGCCCTATATTCTTCCCAATATACGTAACTTAATCTAAAGGAGGTACACCAGTGCCATGGGGAAAAAAGTGGACTGCTGAATGGGGAGCAATTTGATGTAACCAAAATACTACTACACCCTAGTAGTTAAATTTCTGATTTGTGCTTATGTTTTAGCTTCAAATGCAGTAATGACTTTCTTTGGACAAAAAACTTAGTGCACAGAAACTAAAACTTTTACCTGACAAAGGCTGCAGTGTCAATTTTTGCATCTGTGCTGTTCAGGTGATTGTCTAAGTAAATGGAAAGTCTGAGCTATGCCTCTAGGGTGAGGCATGCAAGCACTAGTATAGCAGTTGGGGATCAGAGTAGCTATTGGAGCCAGTTCAGCAGAAAGTCTGTTTATGTAGGTGCCGTGTGTTTATGCTGTGGGTTTTCAGAATGTCATCTCGATCACTGAGGATATGATAGGTAGAAAGTAAAAGTACTATGTAACTTTGCTGGACCTTAAAAGTGAAGGTAACTGAAAATTGTTAGCGTATTGAACTGTACTTAAAAATTAATTTAAAGGTCTGACAGCATATAGAAAACTCATTTAAGATGTTTTCTACAGTGAACTCCAGTAGGCAGTCAGGCATTGAGATACATGACCTAAAAGCTAGAGCTAGCTTTTAAAAATTTTTGTTGTTTTTTATGGTCGTAGCTCATACTTTCCATCAAGACAGCGCCCTATGACCTTTTTTTTGGTTTTTTTTTTGGTTTGGTTTTTTTTTTTAGTGGCATATAATATGTTTTGAAGAAAGAAATGCATGAAAAAATTCAATTTGCATAGAGATGTTCTAGGAAACTAACACTGTGTTTTGTCTTAATGTTTCATATTTCTAGTTTGATTTGTTGTCCTGTGTCCCTGTGTAGCAGTGCAGCTGTTGAAATTTTTAATGCTCTGGCAGCTGAAGCAGAATTTGCATTTTACTACTGCTTGCTTTTGTGATACAGGACTTCTGTGCTTTATGGAACAAGTAGATCTTTGGAACAAGATGACATGTTGTTCACAAAATTTCTTTATAATGCTAGTGATGGAAAAATTCTAGCTCAAATGTGCAAAATACTGTTTAATTTTGATCTATTAATCCCCTGCTATCTTTGTCACTGATAAAAGAATTTGCTGTAATGACTAAAACCTTCAGACCTCATTTTAAGTGATTTCGTTTTTCAAATATAAAATAATAACTTGCTATTTTGGTACAGAGAACTATTAATAGTTTTCATATCTTTAACCAGGAAGTGTTTGAAAAGGAGCAGTCTATATGTGCAGCGGAAGAGCAACCAGCAGAGGATGGGGTAAGTGAAAAATGAATGTTCCTCTTGCTGGCTAAAGAGAACTTTTGCAGATATTGAGTTACCGATTGTGTGCTTGCCAAGCTTTTTTTTCCCCCCAGAAACACCTACTTAAGTGTCTCTTCAGCTATGCTTTCTAACTTTGGTTCGCAGCTTAAAATGCTTAAAGTACAGTGAATGCCTGAAACTTAATGAACAGAATAAGTATTTTAAACACTGCTTTCTTACAGCAAGGAGACACCAACAAAGTTAAGAGCAAAGGATGGCAGCAAAAGAATAAAGGAACCAAGAAAGCTTCAAAATCAAAGAAAAAGAAGCCACTGAAAAAGAAACCTGTGCCACCTTCATTGCAGCCACCAAAACAGCAGAAGCAAAAACAAGCTAATGGGGTAGCTCATAGATTCATTGATATTTTAGTATTTTGTTCAATTTATTACTCCTGATCTGATGGAGTTTTTGTATCTGTCAAACTTCATTCTATGCTTTTGTAAAACATATCTCCTAAAACAGTGGGGTTTTTCTTTAAATTTAAGTATTACTGGTAAAATAAGCAGGGAACCACCACAGTAATGTTTCTAGTGGCCTGCTGAAAGTTGTGCAGAACTGCTTTATAAGTTTGGCTTTGTAGGCCCTTACTAGTTCTTGTTATGCTGCCTTCTGGGAGGTGAGTTGTTCTGTACCTTCTGGTTTTCCTTTGAGGGGAAAAAAAGTGAAATGAGACTTCCTTCTGGTAAATTTAGTACCTTTATGCTCCTGCTGCCTCATGGGCTGTGTTGTAGGTATTTTTCTTATATTTTCTCTTAATTTTCTTACAACTTTTTGAAATGTGACCCCAGAATCAGATACTGTTTTCTCCTATTCATGTTGTAGATGCCAGAGAGAGAAGGAAAATTGCTTCCCTGCACCTCTTAGCACATGAGTTGCAAAGGATTAGTCTTCACTGCAGACATATTCTGTGACAATAGAGGAGTGTAGATCAAAATGAGAAGCAAGGGCTATGACCTTAAGATAGGTGCCGTGAATGCTGTGTACTACAATAATGCAGACAAACTAAGTTAGAGGGGGGTTTGTTGTTGGTTTTTTTTCCTTTCCCATTAGGATGTGGTTGCAAAAGAAGACGAGGAGGAGATCTCTGATAAAGGAAGTGAATCTGAAGAAGAAGAAACAAACAGGGACTCTCAAAGTGAAAAAGATGATGGAAGTGACAGAGACTCTGACAGAGAACAAGATGAGAAGCAAAACAAAGATGATGAAGCTGTAAGCCTTACTTTTTCTTGAAGGGTAATGTTGAGGTTGAGAGAAAAATGCATTTTAATCCTCAAGCATCCCCTCAGGCTAGACAACACTAGGATGAAGAAGTAGTATTGGCTCTCCAGAGACTTTGAGACCTCCTAAGAATGTTGTCATTGCAGGTCTGTTTCAGAAAGCAGTGAAGGGTCTTTGCAGAACAGACAGAAATCTTTAAAACAACATAAGAAAAATAGCTTAATTTCAGGGAAAGATTGTAGTGTTTACTTCAGCTTTGGTGGCAAAGTCCTTTGAACTCCATTCTTTATATGCAGTGGCTGTTGCATACTGCATACTACAAGTATGCAGTAGTTGAACAAACTTGTACATGTGCTTAGTAAACTCTAGTAACTAAATTATTAAGTTAGTTGTTCGAAGCTGTGGATGAAGTGGCTGTAATAGAGAATGAGGCATTGTGGTGGTTAGATGATTTCTGCACTACATGTCTTACAGTGGAAGACTTGAGAGTGACAGCTGGTAGTCACATATAGCGTGCAAATAAGTTTCCGATGGGAAAAGAATCATCAAGTTTGTAATCAGAATTCTTACAGCTGAAGCAGTGAGTTTATAGGTAGTGCTGTGGAAGTGAACTTGGAAGAGTATTTGCAAGTCCTGCAGATCTGTGGCGTGTTTTGTTTTTTAATATATTTACATGATTGGTCTCTCTAGTTTTAGTGTTGCTTGATTTGAGGGGTTTTTTTTGCTTTTAATTGTACTGTCTGATGTAATCTCTGTGTGCCTTTCCCTTTTATAGTGTATAGTGTAGCACAAAAACGTGTCATATGTCATTTTCATGGGCTAAAATGTCTTTTTTTTTAATGCCAAAGATGATTAGTGCAAATAACTCTTTAAACTTGTCTTTGACAGGAGTGGCAAGAATTACAGCAAAGTATACAGAGAAAGGAACGAGCCCTTCTTGAAACAAAGTCAAAGATAACACATCCTGTTTATAGTCTTTTCTTTCCTGAGGTCAGTAATAGAGAACATTATAGTTGTGAAGCATGACATTTAATATAATACAATGTAATTGTCCTCTTTATATTTTTACTGTAAATACCAGGCTTTTAAAAAGTCTAGTACTTGAAAAAATTGCTGATGTGAATTTAGAAAAAGTCTTAATTTGTAAAATCTTCTTAAACTTCTTCAGAAACTTTCCTAAAAAACTTCTAATGTATTATTCTTTCTACCCTTCCTATCTAATTTATAGGTTTGTTTTTTTTCTTTGCAATGTGAAAGCACAACAGTGGTTCTAATACAGAGTTAAGAGTAGAGCATTACTTGCTCTTTTTCTGACTGCAAGCACCTGTGAGTCGAGGAGGTCTTGGCCCTTCCTGTGTTAAGGGTAACAACAGGAGAGTTTGGGGGTAGTTTGGATCAGCAGCTTGTTTTGACTTGCTGCTGACTTAGTCTCAACACAACAGTGTGGTGGCAACACAGCATGCAGCTGTGGAAGAGGGAGTGGGTTGGCAAAGCTGTCTCTTTCTACCACACTGTGGTCTGGAAGTAGAGGAAGCCAATTGTGGAACAGTCTTTTCTATAGAGCTCAAAAATACAAGATAAGGTGTGGATGGACATCAGAGCAAGGGATGTATTTGAGAGTGGTGACTCAGTGTAGTAGATAGGCTGAGGTGTCTCTACAGCAGCCTTCGGTGTAGAAAGTATGTTCTGATATATCAGTTACTTAGACAAACAGCTAACCACTCGGTAGGTGTCTGAAAACATTACAGAAATGCAACCTTGAAAAAGATGGGATTTTTCAAAGCGTGGGTTTTGTGTTCTGAGCAAGTAGGTTAGGTCTTTGGGAGGTGACCAAATTGGAAGTGGGAAGACGGAGTATTTGGCCACAGTTTTTTGTTTGTTTGTTTTCCAGGTCAGTGGTTCAGAGGATTTCCTTTGCTTCCCTGCTCTCTGACTAGGGAACTCATCTAGGATCTCTTTTTTTTCTCTCTTTCTGCTCCTTCCAGTAACAGGGAGGGGGGATACAAGGCTTATTCCACTTGTGCTTTAAATGAGACAACTGAGACAGGGAAGAACAGGAAAACATGAGGAAAAAAAAAGAAGGCATTGTGCATATTTGCCCCCTTTTTTTCAGTTCCCAAGGCTCTTTATGCTCTGTACAGCTTGTTTTGTGTGCAAAACATACTTGGTTGTCCCCATGCTCGTGATCATACTGTTCCTGCTGTTTTTACCTAGTTCTGCCATCATTAGAAAGCAAAGTGTGGGAGACAAGACTTGTTGCTAGGGAGCCAGCCAAGATATACAAATAAACCAAAGAAATTGTTTTCCTGAAGGCCTTAGCTGAGAGTTGTGTGGCCTCACAACATCTAGTTTTGTAACGGCTGATCTCAATGCTGTCTTTTCCTGGCACTGTTAGGTACCCTTCCATCTCTCAGTACAGCTTCCAGTTCTCAGTACAGCAGCATAGGAGAAAAAGGTGTAAAGGCATTCTGCTCTTCTGGATGCCCTAGATCATGTCAAATATGCAGCAGAGTCTTAATACCTCCTTGCTGCAAAGGCAGCTGGCTTTGATCATCAGTGTAAGCTCAAATAGTGAGTATGGGCAGTGCACAGTGCCACAGGGATGCTAACTATTTGTATTTTTTACTGCACTGAGGGTTTCTTCAGAGACTTTGCTTATACTTACTCTGTACAAAGCAGCTTGGGCTTCAGCTATGTGTAACCAAGCTGATGATGGGTTTTAGGACAAAACCTAAATACAGTATAATGCTAAAAAAAAATAAAAATCTAGAGCTGAACTGAATGTTTGAACTTGAATGATACACACGTATATTTTCTTGTGGTACTGCAGTTGCAAATTTTCCAATGTCTCTTCACTGATTTCCTGAAAGGTAAATGCAGCTGTACTTGATGCTGGAGCTGGAGCATGTTCAGATAAAGCTGATTTGCAACATCTGAAGAACAAAATCCATTGTACACTCTGGGTATTTTTTTAATCTGTGATTGAGAGCATTATGTGTATTGTCATGGCCAGTTCAGAGATGCAGAGTTAAGGATGAAATGCTGTAGTTGTGTGAATAGCTCTGTTTCCTGACCTTATGGATGTTTGAGTGTAGCTGGGCCTCAGGAGGAAACCTTAACACTGGTTCATATCAGGTTTTTGGGCAGTTGATTACTCTGCCAGAGATGCATCTTTAATCTATGCAGGTTCTTAATTATCTTCTGCTCCTGCATCCATGGATCCAGAAACTGCACAGATTGTAGTTTTGACATTTTTAGGTAGAAACTGGCCCTGGTGTTCGGATTTTATGAACATACTGGTTCCCTGGCATGCCAAACCTTGCACCCATCTGTTAAAGGGCATTTTGCCCACTTGCCTGTTAGCTTGCCAGATTCTCACAGGCGTAAACTTAAAATTCCACCCAATGAGAGAGAGGAAAATGGCACTCCTGCACAGTTCTCCTTTCTGGAAAAAAAAAAAAAAAAAGAGCAGTGGCACTTTGGGGTCAGGAGCTTTACTTCCAAAGAGTTTGCTCTTGAGTGTTAGATCAATGAGTGTCATTTGTTCTGATATTTCTTTCCCCCCTTGGCTGTTATTTTTACCAGGCTTTGTGAAAATCCAGTTGACAGTTTTGAACTTTGTTCTAAAAAAATATTTCTTGCCATTGAGAGTGATGGTAGCATACACAATGTATAGTAAGTCAGCACAGTGTTTTGGTAATGTCAAAAATAAAATTCATACAAATGAAGGTCCTTTTTTTTTTCCCTACTGGCAGAGTCCTTACAGGCTCAAAATGGTGAGTAGCCATTTCAGCAACGGGTCTAGCTGCTGTAGTTCTTGTTCATCTGTACTGTTTATACTGTTTATCCTACTATTCCTAGAGGCTTCTTGGCTAGGAAATAAACACTTGAACTGCATAAGACTTTTTCTTTACTACAGTTGTCAGGCAGATTGACAATATATTTATTGTTGAAATTTACAAATAAAATAACTTGTGCGTGGAATCACATGGGACAGTTTTTCATAAAGAAAAACACTTGGAATAGTTGTAAAAAGGACTTCTTATAATTCTGCAAATTCTGTTGTTAAACAGTATAGGTATTTTGTCCTCTTCTCTGTGCCTGTTCTAAGCAGTGAAGGAATGCTGTCGCTTTACTGTGATGCAGTTGCTTTTAGCTTTATACGCTGTAAAACAGGCATTAAGATACTGAGTTAATTTTACAGTCCTCTGCTCTGGGACTCAGCAGTGCTGATTGGGGTGTTTTGGTTGCTGATGTGAGTGTCTTGCTGTTGTATATCTGTAGTTTCACAGAATGTTAGGGGTTGGAAGAGACCTCTGAAGATCATCCAGTCCAACCTGCTGCCAGAGCAGGATCACCTAGAGAAGATCAAACAGGAACGCGTCCAGACAGGTTTTGAATGCCTCCAGACAAGGAGACTCCACAACCTCTCTGGGCAGCTTGGTCCAGTGCTCTGTCACCCTAACAGTAAATTAGATTTTCCTTATGTTTAAGTTGAACCTCCTGTGTACCAGTTTGCGACCACTGCCCCTTGTCCTGTCACTGGGCAGAATCAAGAAGAGTCTGGTCCCATCCTTCTGACACCCGTCCTTTAAATATTTGTAAGCATTAATGAGATCCCCCTTCATTCTCCTCCAGGCTGAACAGACCCAGCTCTCTCAGCCTTTCCTCACTTTGGAGGTGCTCCAGTCCCCTCATCTTGATGACTCTGCACTGGACTCTCTCCAGTGGTTCCTTGGACTGCGGAGACCAGAACTGGACACAATATTCCAGATGCGGCCTCAACAGGGCTAGCTGAATATTTCAGTGAGATGGTGATAATTATTACTAGCATAACAGGTAGTCACTTCAAAAGATAAAAGGAGTTAATTTAACTTTTGTAACTTTTTCTTCAAGAAAAGTCTTAAAGAGGTGAAGGAAGGGAAACTTGCTTTGCAGTACTAAACGAACTTCTTTGCAATAGGAAGGTTTCAGCTTCCATTGAACCAAAGCAGGTTTTGCCTAAAATATGTGCCAGAGGGTTAACCAAAAAGGAGCAGTGGTTAAATGAAGGATAGTTGAGCTTGAAGAGCTACAGACTTTTATGTTTGAGAATGGTTGCTTCTATGTTGCTGAACTTCACCACAGCCTTGAAAATTGGACTCCGATCAAGGGATAAACTGTTACTTTTGTACAGTGTTGGTGTCTTTTTATGAAAGACTGCACTCATTTAATTACATTTAGTTTAGGAATTCTACTTCAGTGCCTGCAGTAGCAAGGCCTTTGAGACCTGTAGCTATTTGGAAAGCTGTGTGTGATAAGCAGCAGTTGTTGCGTATCCTTTACAAATATCAATGTTGCTTGTTGTTCATGCTTTCCTGAAGTGAAATCCTGGTATGTCCCAATTCCAACTTGCAGCGGATTCCTACTTCTTGGAGGGGGAAAGAAGAAGTGGGGCAAAGCATTCTTTCCTGAAAAAGATTGTTTATTGGGAAGAGTACTTTGTCTTTTGGCATGCCTTGCTTTACATGCTGATGTTTTTATCCAGGCTGGATTTCTGTTGGAGGACCTAAGGTGGTATTATATTGAGTGAAGTTGCTTGTAATCCTCAGTGGACACAATTCTTCAGAATGGTTCCATGTCTGATGTGGTAGCTTAGGTCAAATATACAAAATGAAGCCTTTGGAGACCAACAGTTTCTTGTGATAACCTGCTTGCTTTCAGTGTGCAGTATATACTATGTATTTTACTCATACACATCCAAGAGTTAAAAAAAACAAACCAAACAAACACCAAACCACCTCCTTTCTAGCTGTATATGATTTTATGGTTATAAGGACCAGTGAATTATAATCACCTGTTGTAAAGTGTAGGGGCATCATTTTATTGACCTCAGTAATCCTGTTTTTGTTTGGTTTTTCTTCCCTTTTATGAAAGGAAAAACAAGAATGGTGGTGGCTATATATTGCAGATCGGAAGGAACAGATGCTAATATGTATGCCGTATCACGTTTGTACACTAAAAGATAAGGAGGAGGTAAAGTACTTATAAAAATTTTCATTTGGGATATTATAAAAAGCATCTTATGGTATGCAAATACATTTAAATTCTAATTTTTTCATATACTTATCTCTTAAGAAGGAAAATTTTAATTTCCTGATAGAAGTAGAGAAGAGCCTTTTAACTAAAAATTAATAATGGAGAAAGAAAAAAATAAGGAGACTTGCAGGTTTTTTTGCAGACTTTTTCGCTCCCTGATATCAAAAGCTGATGAAAACCAGTATTCGTACACAATGATCATTCTTAAGTTATTCACATATGTGAGAAATACTGAGTGTTCTTTTTCTGTAAAGCAGAGGCTGTGACAAATTAATTAGCTGCAGCTCGTATGAACCTTTCTGAGACTGTAACCTTTGGCTGTGTTCTTTGCTTTTCTAAAAATGGGGATTTCATGTATTTTGTTCTTTCAAACTAGATTTTGTGTTCTAGTTCAAATAACAGTAGAGTTAAGCTAATACTTTCAGCAGACTAAATATTGTAACCTGTTGGGGGTTTTGAGATTTATGAAGCATCCAATGAGGTGAAATTGTGTACTTAATGTAGGGTTACTTGGTCTAATTCAGAAAAAAGTTTTTAAGGAAAATAAAGTCTTACTCTGTAGCAGTATTTATTTCTCATTAGAGTACTGGGGTACCTGTTCTAATGTGTCACTTGAAAGCAGCAAGAACTTAACGGTGTGAATTCTGTTTTGTAGGTGGAGCTGAAATTCCCAGCACCAGGCAAGCCTGGAAACTATCAGTACACAGTTTATTTAAGATCGGATTCATATATGGGTTTGGACCAGATCAAACCATTGAAGGTGATGTTTAATTGTGCATGTATTTGTATTAATATTGAAAGCTACTTTATATGGCTATTAAAACCCCAAAAGTCCTGTTATCTTTAAGAATTTAAGCTGTCCTAATCTTAAAACAGTGGCAAAGAGGGACTTTCCAGCAGTGTCTGCCTGATGCCAATAGTGGAAATTTTGTGATTGATCAAATGGGACTAAAGTTTGTGATGCTTTGCAGTGCCTGTGTATTTTAATACACATTTTCTCATGTTTATTCAACTTCTGCAGCATGGCTGTCTCTAGCTTTATACCTTGAGGTCTGCCTTGCCACTTCCCTGCCCTTAGTCCTAGACACATCCAGTTAATGAGAAAAATGTGCATGCCTTATTTCTGGAAGCAGTTGATGATTTTGGTTTTGGGCGTTTTTTTTGTTTTTTGTATTTAAACTGTCAGTTTTGTCGTGTCGTTTGTTTTTTTGGTGGTTTTGTTTTGTTTTGCTTTCCCAAATTGATGTGTATTGTCTGTAACCCTTTTCCTCCCTGCTTCTCTTTACTTTCTTTTTCTTTATTCAATTACAGCTGGAAGTTCATGAAGCAAAACCAGTGCCAGAAAATCATCCACAATGGGATACAGCAATAGAAGGTGATGAGGACCAGGAAGACAGCGAGGGCTTTGAAGACAGTTTTGAGGAGGAGGAGGAAGAAGAGGACGATGATGATTAAACAGTACTATTAATTGACTACAATATCTGCACACACTGCAAACTCTTGGTCTGACTGTGGAACTTTACAATAAACCAGAAACAGTACAGAAGCTTTGAGAAGGCTGAGTTTAATTTTTCTTTACCAATTAAGAGTGCATTATGTAACTTCTCAGTGGAGGTGAAGCAAATCCGTTGCCATTGATACACCTTGGAATATGCTTATGGCTCATTATAGCCTTCAAGTGCAGGATGGTGCATTTGTTTCAATTGAAAATAAAAGCTTTTTTATTATAAATGTCCGAAAGTGTGGGCTATGTATTGTCTGATCAGTTTAGGGTCCAATTTAAATAAAAGGTACTATTAGCTAGGAGCAAACTTTAAATCATTTTTTCTGCATTAGGAATTTATTTTAGAAGACATTTTGGTATATTTGACATCCTGAATCTCTGTTGATTGAAACAACATCTGCTCAACTTTCAAACTTGATTGGTTCTGTGGTATTCATTAAATATTTTGCTGTGATACTGCTCACATCATTCATAGCTTTAAAAAAATCTTTTATACTTAACTTGATAATTATAAATTGGCATCATACCCGTCGCCACATTCCATATATTCTGGAGGGCTGCTTTTTTAGGACTTTTGCCTTTTATGCCCAAGATTAAAATGGAAATCATAAACTTCGTTGACTCTGCTATAGGGATACTTATTAATGGCTTAAAACATTTTTAAGCCTTTATTTCATCAGATCAGCAGAAGATCTGAGTCTTTTGATAAACAAAATGTCTGAAAGTGATTTTTGGGACCATGTGTTATGCAAGTTGGTGGCTTTTGTGTAATGCCTTTATAAAAGGTACATGCTGAAAGCCGAAGTATATTCTTAACTCTTATTCTACCTGACACTGTTGGAAATATTTTATGGGTAAAATACAACATGCAAAGAGGGCGTGTTTTGTATCAGTTTTGCATTCCCATCAATAAACTGGACAATTTGATGGCTGTTTGCATTTACAGTGTACATCTCGTTGTCAGAGTTCTTTTACCTCAGTCTCCTGGGGGGCTGTGAACAAGACAGTGATTGTTTCTACCCCTTTTTTAAAAAACCCAACAAAACTGCAAGTCCAATTGGAGAATAAATTCAGGGAGGAGAGAATCAAGGCTGTTAGTGTATTGCGTGGCTTGACAAAAGCCACAGGTGGATTCTTCCTTTTCTTGCCCTCAATAAAATAAGTGAAAGTGTTTATTAATTAAAAGTTGTATTTCTGTGTTTCAGAAGTACATGAGTGTTTTGCAAGTAGGAACAGATGTATTTCTGTTCCCTATATATTGAACTATGAAAATGCAATGCTGTAAACCATGACAAATGTCATGCAAGAAAATCATTCTGTGAAAATTGTCCAAAGCCAGAACAGTTGCACACTAATTTGTGACCTTGTTTATTAGAAAGGGTTGTCACTTCAAATGCGAAGTTACATTGTTATATTCTTTGTAATGGCAATAGTTGCAAATAAAATTTGAAAATGTTCTGAATGAGATTATGGTATTTTTCAAAGTACTTCTGAAGTGCATATTGTTCAGGAAAAATGCTTGTAAAGCTTAAGCAGTGTCAGGTGTTCAAACTGAAGGATGAAGACTAGGTATCAATTAAATGGCTTGTACACTTGATGCCTTTTAACTCCAGTTTCTATTTGCAAAATACAGTAGAGAAATAATAAAAAAGCACAAGTTGCATTCCATGAGCTTTCAGGCCCAATACGGCACTGATGAGAGAAATGCCGGAGGAAGAGGTCACCAGGGTCATTATCAAGTAGACAAAACAATTCATAGCTTCTGCTGTTGCTAAAAATTGAGAAGTGTTTATTGTTAGGAGATATAATGGATAATAAGAGCATGGTGGATGGATGGGAGTGCTCTGTCTACTGATACTTATACACATTGACTTCTAATAGTAATATTTACGTGCAAGATGTGAATACATTGAAGAGATTTAAAAACAAAAAGATAATCATAATCTTGGTCTGAACATTGAGGTATTTTCTTCTTAAAGATTGAAACTGACAGCTGGGATTACACTGAAAGTCTGCAAGCTGAGGATAATTCTATTGAGCTAACAAAGGCGAAATCCAGTATTTCTTCAAATGTGGGTCTCCTGTATGGTCAAGGTAACTTAATAGAAGATGCAAGGAAAAGAATTGTAGTGGTATTGGAAATTTTCATGATGTGAAGAGTGCAAGCTGGTACTTCCCTAAGAATGCCAGCTATATCATTGTGCACTGTTTTGCACCTTTCAAGAAACGTGCAAAAGGAGGGCTGAGGAGGTATTTAAGAGGCTTTGAACAATACAAACACCAGCTGCAGGTGCACAGCTCTCATGAGTGTTACTTGTTACTACATTATTGGAACTGTTAGCTGGTCTGTTGTCCAGTGTGACCATTAATAACCATTTCTGAAGAACAGTTGGAATTGTCATTCAAAGATTTGGTAGCTGTCTCTTGAACAGGAATTACCGGGATGGGTAAAACTTCCCAGGAAGAACCAGCATTTTGTGTTCACTGTTGTGTGTGTCTTTTGCTTTTTGATGGGGTTTAGGAATTAATACAACTGATTTTACTCCTAACTCCTCTGAAATTCTGGTATAGTAACTGAAGAGTGAAAAAGTTCAAGAAATAGTCTTCTTTGCTGACAGTGGCTGATTAATATTATAGGAAACTTCACTTTTTTTCTAGTTTGATGCTGGGTGAGTAGAAAGTCCCGCTTGTGCAAAAACCTGATTAACCCCTCTAAATGTTCAATGTCCTGTGCGTGCGGCAGCGGCGGCTGCAGTTCCCGGCCGTGTCCCAGAGGGGGCGGCAGGGCCTCGGCTTTGCTGGGGAACCCCGGGAACACCCGGCCCCTCCTCAGCGGCGGCCTCGGGTTTGGGGTTTTTAAAAATCTGTTTAGTTTATTGTAAAGAAACTCTGCTGTTACATATGCACCTCCCCTGTTTTTATATTTGTTTTTCTACGGGTTTTTTTCCCCCCAAATTCCTTGCTGACTCTTCATTTAAAAACCGCTGCA